CCCGCGCCCCCCAGGCCAGCAGGCTGCTAGGTGTCCCCATCAGGGCTCTTTTCAGTCATTACGCTCCTCCACCTGCCCTCCTGCTTGGATGCTGTGGTTCGGGGCCACAGGTGCCTCCTGGTTTCTTTGAAGCCGAGAGTCTATGTTTCTGTTTCATGTTCTCCTTGTCGTGGCTGCTCTTCAGCGAAGCGCGGGGAGCGGAAAACTCTCTACCTTGGCACCTTGACACCACAGTCCCCCCTATGCAGAGTGCGCTCTGTGGTATGTGAGCCAAACCACACGTTGGGTGTTGACTTACACGCCTGTCTCTCTGGGCCCCTGGGGAGCACAAGGCTGGGCCTCACCCCGCTCTTCACTTTCAGCTCCTGACACGGTTTGGCACAGAGCACATGGTTAGTACGTGGGAACTGAGCTGAACTGAACTTCAGATGATACAGATGACTGCTCGTCATTTCACCTTCCTTGGGGCCTTTAGAAGTCTTCTAGAACCATCCTAGATCTTTGTCTCCCTCCCCAGAGCCTTCCCTGCCCTACTTCCCACATCCCACGAGGCCTGGATGGAATCAGATGTCCCTAGAGGTGAACGGTGCTTGGGTGATGGAGAATAGAGGGTAGGGAGGTGGGTAGAAAGATGAAAGGGAAGACAGCAGGGACAATTTTTCTCAGTCTGTTGAGATCTTGCTTCCAGGTGCATCCTATATTTGGTTCAAATAATTTTTTTTTTAAATCCTCACCTGAGGATATTTTTCTATTGCTTTTCAGAGAAAGTGGAAGGGAGAGGGAGAAAGAGAGATAGAAACACTGATGTAAGAGAGGCACATCGATTGGTTACCTCCTGCTTGCACACCGCTCTGGTGCCAACTGGGGCTGGGGATTGAGCCTGCAACTGAGGTACATGCCCTAGGCCAGAATCAAACCCAGGACCCTTCAGTCCCTGGGCCAACACTCTAACCACTGAGCCAAACTGGCTAGGGCTGAAATAAATTTTTATAAATTTTTTTTTTTTTTTTTAAGATAGCAGGGACCTGGGCTCTGAAAAGTCAGTAAAAATTGCTGATGAAAAAATTGAAAATTGTTTCAGTATACCATTTTATCATCTCCCATGATTCCATGGTTGGCTGGGCTCAGTTGGGTGGCTCTTCTGTTCCACATGATGTTGGCTGGGGCTGCAGTCATCCGGGGACTGAACTGGGCTGGCACATCCAAGGTGGTTCATGCCCATGATTGGTGCCTTGATGGCTGGAAAGCTGGGATCACTGTGTATCCAGCATCTACCAGGTACTCGCTAGGGTCATGGTGACCGAGTTAAGCAGAAGAGATATTTCCCTGGGCTCTCTGAAGATTTGGCAGCTCCCCATTGGGCTGTGAGCTCCTAAGAGCAGGCCCGCACTTGACCTGCCCTCAAACCCTCAATAACTATAAGTTATTGAGCACACAGCTCAATAACTATTTCCTAAATGATTACGTGATTGATTGAATGAATCAATGCTGTGTAAACATTTTTGAAGGCATCTGAGAAGCACAAGTATGTTTGTAACTGTGGAAGTTGGCATATAAACAGACAGAGTGGAGGCTGCGATGCCAGTGAAAAGGCTGTAACTACTGTCTAGGGAAGAGATGCAAGCCCTAGAACAGGGATGGCAGTGGGCCAGGTAAGGAGACGGGTTTAACAGATATTGGGAGGCAGACTTGTCCAGGCTTGGTGACAAGTGAATGCCGGGGTGAGGGGATGGGAGGGGCCAGGGGTACCCCCAGCCCAGGCCTCTGCTTTGGAAGAAGGAACAAGGGGCAGTCGGGCTCTGTGACGGAGAGCCCCAAATGTAGTCTCGTTGGCTGGTGCCTTCCTGCCCGCCAGGCAATGGCTGCATGGTGAGGAGCCAAGTCTGATGCATCAGACTGAGTGGGTGGGTGCTCGGGGGTGGGTGCTCTTGAAGGAGAGAGCATCGCCATGTTGTCAGCTCCTGCCCACAACCGACAGTTCTTCCTGTTTCAAAACAGGTTTCTCTTTCCTATCTAAAGGGCCTCTAGTTGTCAGCCAATTTGCAGAGCAAAAACAAGTGACTCGCCCCAAGTCCAGTGATTGCTGGACACAATGATACAGGGGAAAGAGCATGGGGCTAGAAGTCCTAAGACCTCAATTACAAATGCCATCAGCTAACAGAAGGCCTGGCCAACATCAGGTAAACAAATAGGCGGTTTCATTTTCATTTTGTTCCCATAATAAAGCAGCCGTTGGCATTGGTTCAGCTGCCCATCGAAGCTGTCAAGGTTCCAGGCTCTGTTTATCTTTCTGCTCCTCTACTCTTAGCATGTTAGCATGAATCTTCATGCTGCTGGCTTCCAGTCTGCAAGGTGGCTGCTGCAGCGCCAGACATCTCATCAGTATTCAAGGCAGGGAAGAGGGCAGAACAAAGGGCAGTGTCAGTGGCTCTATCATTTTTTATGAAAGAAAACAAAAACTTCCATAGATGCCACTTCTCCAGCTGATTTTCACTTACGCCTTGTTGGCCCAAACTGTGTGATCTTGGAACCCCCGCTGCAAAGCAGGCTGGGAAAACAAGTATTGTTTTATCTGGGGTTAGATACATTGCTGCCCTGCACAAAACTAGGATTCTGACAGCAAGGAGGATGGGTGCAGTGGTAGAGGCCGGAAATGTGGAGTGTCTTAGTGAGTTGAGCTCTAACTCCTGTGCCCTCCTGTGCACCCATTTCCTTCTCTGCAAAAAAGAGCTGCTAGTACCTACCTCGGAAGGCCAGTAGGGGGATTAAATGAGATAATATGCACTAGGTAAGACCCCACCATGGTGAGAGAATTTATTTACTGACATTATTGGAATAAAGCAATGAGTGTGTCCATGGGGTAGATGTATAGGGAAGTTTGAGGAGCAGAGGAAATTGTTCGAGGAAAAGGGACCAAATCAGCTGTGCAAAGGCCTGGGGTGAAAGAAGCGAGAACCTGGCTTTGAGGAAATGAGAGTTTAGTCTGATAGTGGAGGTGTGAATGCGGGAGGCGAGAGGGAGGCAGGGTGTGGCCAGGCCTCTGGGGCCATGGGCCACAGGACAGGTCTGAATCTAGAGGCTCCCACAAGAGCAGGAAGCAGAAAGAACTCCCCTCGGACTCTGGCCTAGGAAGGGGGCACCTCAGGGCTTTTCAGCGTTGAAGATTTGGGTGTGGGCTCTGACCCACCACATCTGTGTTTGTGTCAGGCATTGGTTTTAATGTGGTTTTGTTTCATACGAGAAGTAACTTTAAAATCATGACAAACTTGTCTGAGCTGAAACTAATAAAGGCCAAGGGTTCCCCCCTGCACTCAGTTCCTTTCAAGAGAGTGAGGCTCCTGGGAGGCAGTGACTAGAGGGTCCTGCCTCAGAGCTTCGGGACTTTGGGGACAGTGTGGGTGGCCAGAGCTCTGGCAAAGAAGAAAATAGAAACTCAGAGCAATTCACCGGGCTGGGAATTGGCAACCCTGAGCTGTCGGGGACAGGGCTTTCTATCTCTTTTTTTATTCCTTTATTTTAGACTCTCTAGAGTGTCAGCTAAGTAGGGCAGGAACCCGTGCGCACGCCTGGATTCCCACACCCAGACGTCCCTCACCCCCCGAACCTAGAATAGTGCCTGGCACAGAGTGAGTGCTCAATAACTCTGTTGAATGAATGGATGAAGTCTGGATAAAGACGTGCAATTGTCCACAGAAGTGGAAAGCCTGCATTTGTGAGCTGGCAAACACTAAGGTGACTGACTCCATACCAGGCACCGCTGTGCTTCATGGGTGAGCTTCGTCAAGCCTTTCAACAGCCCCATCTCTCTTCTAGAGACTGCTGGGACTGGCCTTGCTCCATTACACTCTTGGGACACCTTCCTGTGATCTTCAGTAGTCGAGGTTGCGGGTTTCCAGCTGCCCGACGCCTATATTCCTGAATTCCCACAAGGCTCTCAGTCTCCTTTTGGGGACCAGCCCCTCCACCTTGGTGTATGGGTTTTGACCCGGTACTTCCACTCCTTACTCCAGCTGGCAACTGGTCCAGGCCCATCAGAGCACAGCAGCTCCCTACCAAATATGACGGGTTGAAAAGGGACCCAAGGCCTAAGCTGGTCCAATCAGAGTAATCGTAATTAGAACTTTGCCTGGGGCAAACACTTGCTCTTTTTTTTTGCCGAACTTGAACCTGGAAGGATGAAGCCCTGAGAGTCACCTTCCTGAGAATGAACCAGACAGCAGAAGGCAAAGCAAAGAGGTACAGGAAAGCGAGCCCTGATGACATCAGCTGCATCCCCGGACCACGCTGCACCTGAAGTCATGATATTTCCAAACTTGAATCAATAAATTTATTTTCTACTTAAGCAGGTTGAATTGGGCTTTCTACTTGCAATAGCAAAACTCCTGACTAGCAGCATCTGAAGGTTTTAAGACTCTCACAGGTAAAGGCAGCTCAGGATCCTGTGAGTGGAGCAGAAAGACCTGAGAGACGGCAGGAGCCAGCTGGACCCAGGCTTTTGACTGGCTGATGCCCACAAAGATTTAGAAAATCTGATTTGTTTTCGGTTGTCCCAAAAGGAGAATTAAGACCAGAGGGACAAACTCCTGACACACTCATATTAGCTCAGTAGAAGGACTTTCAGACAAGCAAGACCATCAAAATTGGAGTAGACTGCCTCAGGGGGAGTGAGAAACCCGTCCCTGAAGGTATACAAGTGGTAGCAGGCAACCATCTGGCCCAAAGTTTCCGGAGGAGACTCAGGCGTTGGGTGGGACTGGGGTAAATGGGTAGATGCTGCCATATGCAGCTAGGGGCACACATCAGTAATACAGGAGTGGCTTACTGGGTCCTGGGGCTCCCCTCTGCCCCTAGGAAGACAGGAGCATGAGGAGATCGGGACACAGCACCTACAGATTCACACCTTCGGACCCATGGGGGCCTCCAGCACAGAGAAGACGCTCAGCCAAGCTCTGCAGCCATCTGCTAAGAAACGCCACAGGAAGGGGACAGCATGGCCAGCCGGGGTGCCACTGGGCTTTGGGTGGGGGCCCGGGAGGGTCAGAACCATCTGGCTGGGAGGACGGGGACAACCTGGAAGGGAGACAGGCAGGGGGTGAGAATTTGGGGACAGCTCACAGCTCTCCAGGCTCACAGCCCATTCCCACCCCCAGCTTTCGTTGGAGGGTGACCCTCCCGTGAGGACCGCCCACCCTGCTCTTCCTCAGCAGCCTCCCAGCTCTGCCCTCCCTGCCTGCACCCCTATATGTGGGTGTCAGCTCTCCCGGGGGGCGGGGCCTGAGGTGTCTGTAGCCCTTGTCTTCCCAGCTCTCCCGCAGGGTGGGCAGCCTGGCGGCCCGGTGACACCCATGACTTGGCTCAGGTTGCCTGGCACTTTCTCAAACCTTAGACCTTCCTTCTGGGAACTGGGCTCACTGAGCAAATGGGGAAACCGAGGCCACTCGCTTCTCCCCTTCTGTCCTGATCTAAATACCACCCCCAGTGAAACCGAGGGTCAGTGCCAGCTAGAGCTTGCTGAGTGTGGGGGGGGGGGGGTCTTGAAGCA